GGCTCAAATGGAAAAGGAAGACAAAAGCTTCTAGGACAAAAAAAGCCCTAAAAGAAAATGTCTCAAATTCTTTTCAAGTGAAAAAAGATAACTAAAGTGGACTGGCCCACTTTACCTCGACATGTACATGATCCTTAAAATCAGTCATAAATGATCCATGTCTCCTCCATGTTTCTTAACTCTTTTTTGTTGTTTGGCCATTTATTTAATCTTTGTGTCACTAAGTTAGAGAAATATTAATAGAAGGAGATAGAGAGGTGGGCATATACATTTATATAGAGAGAGCTAGAGAGATAGAGATAGAGAGATGGACAGGAGAGAGAGAGAGAGAGAGAGAGAGGACCCTCTAGATAGGACAAGGAAGACCCAATGCCTAAAGACAGAACAAAAGTGGGATTGGCAAGGAGGGGGGAGCCCAGAAGAGATATGGGCAGATAATTTCAGATGTTTAAAGTTTACTGATGATCGATGTTGACAACTTAGAAAAGAAAGAATAAAATCCCATGGTGCAGTGGCATATTTTCTGCTACGATATCCTTGCTGGAGCAAGGGTGTTCCTCCCTAAAGTGGCCCAAGTAGGATAGAACATTTGCCACTTTTTTGCTAACAGGAGTTGAGAAATAAGTAGCTATTATTTCAATTTTATTCTTATTAATGGCTCTCCTCTTGATGCTATGGCAATTTTTTTGGTTAATCCAAGTTTTTTGTTACATTCTAGTAGAGTTATTGTCATTCTCTTCTCTTACGAACGAGATAGGTTGACCTGGTATGTTTGATGAAGGTATACCAAAATTGAATTTATAGACTAACACCACAATGCTGTTTATCCTTATCAACTAATTAATTTTGTGCTAAAAAATTGATTTAATCCATTTTGGTGAATGCTTATTGCCAACTTATTTTTTCTGGTCATGTGAACTCCTCTTAGGATTCGCAAGGCACTTCTTGCATAATTTTCACTAGAGATAAATAAACAACAAGTGATATACTACAATGCACAATATTGATGAGCTCCTCCCAAGAATCCCTAGCCACATCTTACAAGAGATAAATTTTAAAAATTGGTGAATTTTCTATTTTTTTGATGTCATAATATATTATTTAATTTTTAAACATTATTAAACGTTTTATGTACTTTATGAAAATGTACTAATACATTATTTCAAGACACGTCAAGTTTTATAAGAATTACAATCATTGGTACACAGGATGTATGCTATATTAGTCATTCCTAAGCGCATCTCACTGCTAAGGTGGGGACCATCCCACCTCCTCTCGACTACCTTCTTCATATGGGAGCTCTATGGGTAGTTAGAAGCATCATAGTAGCTGTTGACCTGATGCTGCTAACCCTTGAGATGGGGCATGGACCCAGTGTTTCTCGTTAAGGGAAGTATCTTCGTTCTGAACCTTTTATTAGAGACGAAAAATTTAGTCTTCATCTACTTTCCCATGAACTATTACTCTCTCTCTCTCTCTCTCTCTCTCTCCGTCCCTCCCTCCCGCTCAACTATCACCCAATGATAGTTTTTCTGGTTGGACTCCCAACTGTCGACGGACGGTTGTACCACGGATATCTCTCTCTCTTTCTCTCTCTCTAACTCCGAATTCCTCTCGCCGTCTGGTAACGGGGATGGTTGAGAGATAACCCCGCATTTCCTGCATGGGGCGGGAGTTATTTAAACCCCGTCTCCTCTCCTGGGCGGGAAAACCCACAGAAACCTTCTTCTCCACCTCCAAGTCGAAGATGGGCGCCACGATGGATCTCCCCGTCGAGAAGTCGACACCCTGCCTTCCCCTCTGGTACCAGAGAAGCAGAGAAGGCTTTCATCTCCTCCCCCACGGCGAGGATGCCGGCGAACGCGGCTGGCGGAGGCTTCTCCGGCGGTTTCTGTCGAAGCGCAGCGCCGCTAGGGGTGTCTTCAGCTACGATCTCGAGAGCTACCGCAAAAACTTCGACGACGGGGGGAAAGGCGACAACGAGCCATCTAAGTAGGGTATCCGGCACCAAGGACGCCCTAAGTAGGGTTTTACTGGAAGAAGAGATCTGCGATTTTATTTAGAGAATGGCGTTTCTCCTTCATCTCTTCTTCTCTCTCTCTCTCTCTCTCTCTCTCTCTCGTTTATCACCATTCGTCATTTTCTTGATCTTTGTTGTGGTCGTCGTCAAGAAGTTATATAAATAATAATTTCTTGGGTCTTTCTGCCTTCATTTGCTTCGGATCTTCTTGTTCTTGGGCTTCCACATCACGAGGAATTTATTTGTAAACAGATCTTTAATCTTCAGAAGAGAAACATCAGACGGCGGGAAGCGACACATTTCCCCTCTTTGCCGCTGCATGGCGGCAAGATCTGCGGATATCCTCTCCGTGATAATAACTCTTTCTCTCTCTCTCTCTCTCTCTTCTAGGTGGGGGTAATCTGTGATTATCTTTCCATTTTGGTTTTAGAGGTGCACTGTGGACTGAGGCTAGAATTAGGGTTTGCTAACATCATATCATCTTCATCTTAGACCTCTATCTTTCTCTCTCTTCTAGGTGGGGGTGATATGTGATTATCTTTCCTTTGTGGTTTTAGAGGTGCATTGTTGACTGAGGGTAGAATTAGGGTTTGCTAAACATCATGGCCATCTTTATGTTAGACATCTCTCTCTCTCTCTCTTTCTTCTCCCTCCGCCACATAGGATCAATCGGCGTTTGACTAAGGTAGTAGGATGGGACTAATAGTTGCCAAGTATCATAGTCATCTTCCTCTTAGGTCAACTCATCCCCACAAATAGGGTTGGCTAGTTGTAGATTAGGAATAGGGTTTGCCAAGCATCCTGGTCAACTCCCTATTAGTTCCTATTCTCTCTCTCTCTCTCTCTCTATATATATATATATATATATATATATCTTTGTCTTTACCGAAAATAGGGTTTGCCAAATATCACGATCATCTTCCTCTCTCTCTCTCACTACCCAAATAGGGTTAATCCGTGTTTATGGAGGTTGACTGGGTTTAGGATAAGACGAGTGTTTGCCAAATGTCATGATCATCTCCCTATATTTCTCTCTCTACACCAAATAGGGCTAATCTGTGTTTAAGATAAGATGAAGGTAATTGCACAAGGCCCTTTAACACGGGATCTCGCTTAGTTGGCTCTGCGGAGGTAATCTAACATTTAAGCCCCTTTTTTAATTAATATTTTAAAATCTTGGCCTATAAGATTAAATATTTCAAATTATCAATAAGGATATCCAGTTTTCTTTTACTGATAGTAGAATCCTTTAATCAGTGTTCTGGGCACCCACCCAATCGGTCTCTGTATAGACAGGGAGAGAGAGAGAGAGAGAGAGAGAGAGAGAGAGAGAGAGAGATGAGCGGGAGCGGCGGGACCTTCAACCTGCTCCATCAGCTGCGGTTTCCTTCTACCAGATTGCATGCGGGAAGAGGCCGCCCTCCGCTTCCCTCTCGTGAGGCATCCCTCTAGTATCTTGCTTGGAAGAGTAGCTCACTCTTGTCGCCGGTTGCGGCTCCTGAAACGTCGAGAGTTCCCCGCCGCATTCCGTTATTGATGGGCTTTCCAATTTACTAATCATTATCTGTTTGAGTATGTTTTTTTTATCTTCTTGTATTTTCCCGATTTTCTATCTGGATTATCGGTGTAGTATACTCAACTTCTCCGGGATGGTGTGCCAAGTTATGCGGTTTCTTCTTTAGCTCGAGTTTCATGTCTCATTCACTGAAAAAAGGTTTATTTCAGTTTCTCCTTCGAGATATGGCTCTTTAGTCTTGGTTTATCTCCAGAAAATTTGTTGAGTCCTATTCTTCTCATACGGATTCGTGTAGCTCATTCGTAGGGAGCCATGAATTTTTTTTAATTCATAGTGTCTCATCTGTGAACCAATCCCCATTTTCCATGATTTAAATTGAATTTCCTATTTCAAAAAAGTTATGTTGACATCTGTGGTGTTTGATGCTGTAATTCAGATCTATATGCTGTTGTAAAGAGGCGAATATGCTCAGTTCTGTATGTAAGACAACAGGTGCAATCAGCTACAGACGAAGCTGTTGGGAAAGGGCATGAAACCGTAACCAAGGTTCTATTTTGGATTCTCCCTACAGTTCATACCTGGGATTGAAAATTTACCCATTTCTTGTAAAAAAATTTAATCGCTTAAAAGTTTATTCTTATGATTTACTGTGGCATAATCTAATTTTTCTGGTACATGGCACTGATTCTAGCAGCTTGGATATGGTATTTATATAGAGCAAATCGTGTGATATGATGATAGACAAGGAGTCTTATTCGTTAAAATTTAAGCTTTAATAAGACTGGAATGTTAGAAGTTAATTTTGGTTTCTTAGTAGATTATATCTAAAATAATTAATTAGAACTAAGTTAACTGATCTCTGAACTGTTACTTTTGACGAAACCTACACTGAGAGTGGTTTATTTATATTTATTAATCTGCCTGCACTATAGATCGTAAATGATCTAAATGATGGAGGATGTGAGCAGAAAGCTTGTTGCTCAATTATATAGGGATATGGTTTGATCTTTGCTTTTGGGAATAGATGGAAAACAGTGGAAAGAGAAGCCATGGTAGTCATCTCGTCATTCTTTCAGATAACGAATATGAAGGTGGTGTGTAGAATAATACAAGGGTTCTCCCTGTCACCAGAAAACTAACAATGACATCAGTTTCCCTGTAATGATAAACTGCCATGTGATATCCTATGAAAGGTTGAGGTCAGTCATTTGCGATATTAGCTGGTTGTAGGCTCTCAAATCGTATGATGTTCCCAGTGTGCAGAAGATCATAAATCATTCGACTATTCCCTCCTAAAAATGGGTAGCCGTGTTTTGTGGTCTCTGTAGAAGTCTATACGTTATTTTCTCGTGTTTTTTATGCATTATTACCAGTTTTTTGACTCGGATAATATTCTGTTTTAGATAGTTTCCCCATGTAATCTCTATTCTATGGGTTTTTTGTGAATAGGAGAAACCTTCAACCATGCCTAAAATGGTCGGAGCCTTTCAAAATTTACCCATGGTGATGCCTTCGGATGATATACTTTCTTCTGCAAAACGGAAAGCCAGGAGAGTTACTCCATCTAAGGGTAAAGGATTGTATCACGTATTGTTCAATCTCATCAGGCTAGAAACACCTATTCTTGGCTCTGGCTTTTGATTATTATTTTTACTTTGCAGGTATTGCAAATATTGCAAAGAGGGAGAAAAACAAAGGTGCTAAACATCTCGATGCATTGATGAAGGTTTGTTCTTTGAAATACGCATTTAGTATCTTCTAGAAAATGGCTTGATCATGCATAATCTACTGATAATAGGCCATCAGTACACTGATGTGAAGGCGCAAGGTGAAAACTTTACATATAAATTGTTAATTTTTACCATTACATCTGCAAATTTTCTCACAAATAACCGTATCAATTCTTTGATGCATTCAGGAAATAGCTGTTCCTTTGAGGCTTTATCTAGCGAACTTCCCCAAGAAATATCTGTTACATCCCTATGAACGTTCTCTTATCGAGTTGACTTTTGGGGAAGGGAATTATGAGGAGGTAAACCACTAATTTTCTTTGATTTTTTCTTTCATGCTCAGTTACCGTCCCTTGCAACGAAAAATTATTACTGGTTGCTTCTTAGATGCTCATATGGTTATTCTCACTGTTGTCCGCTATGTTTACCTTTATCTCTGTGTTTTTTATATTTTTATTGCTCATTTGATGCACGGTGTTTTCCACTCTATGGAGTCAGTGGCTACTGGAATTTACATCCCATGACTTCACTGTGGTCTGCTAACTGAACGGTTGGTCCAATGGCCTTGACTTCGAAGTTTTTCCATCTAACATTTTGGTTAAAGCAGAATAAAATTAGGTAGGAGTCTGGAAGTGGTCAGTCATTTGGGTATACCAATTAGTGGAGTGTAACAAGGGATACTCTCTCCTGTAATTATTATCTAATGAGTGGGAATCACTTAAAGAACTCTTCCACTGAAAACTTATGCTTTCCTGAAGAGAAAAAGAAACCATTTCTGGGATGTTATTTAAAGTTGGAGGGCAGGGCCCCCCATTCTGTTACCAGATATCACCTTTGTCTTCAAGATGCTCAGCTTATGACTCTCTTATGATAAAGGAGAAATAGATCATATGTGACGTGGATAATTGGCGAATTAGTCTATCATTTGGAAGCCTTTTCTTGTTTATTTAAACATTCATGGAAATGTTTTAGTATCTCCTGAGTTTAGCACTGATGCTGGATCCTGTTGATCAAAATTGTTGATACTCAATGAGTAGCACTATATGATGTCATTTGGCTCAGAATTTATGATGGTGGCGCTAGAATGTTTTTTTAGTAGACCAAGCATTCATTCATTCTCTTACTAAAAAAGCCTCCATCTCCATTCCATCTCTTTTTGGATCTCTCCACCACTCTTTACGCCTGTGGTCATGATTCTTTGATAGTCTACCTTTGTTGTACCTCCATACAATTACAGTCTGTAGTAACACCTATGAACAAGGCTAATGAGGGAGAGTAGGGGTAGGTTTAGGGCGCTTGAAGAAAATGAGCAAGGAAAAGAAGTACCAAAGTTATCATTAACTGGATGTAATGGGGGTAGGATGTTTCATCTCCTCTTTGATGTTATCTTTTCCTCCATTTTGTTCTCTCTTTCTCTCTTCTTCCTCTTATTTCTTTCTATCATGGTTGAGTCAGAAAGCATCTTTGCACTGTCAAAACCCCAAAATGCTTTATTATCGATCTCATGTTTGCCCAACTTCTGGGAATGTAAATAATGTCTTTGTTAGCTTGATTTTCGGGTTTTTTTTTGAGTGAAGTATTTAGTTTAAGTCAGTCAGGTGACCAGATTTGAGTGATAGATGTATTATGTTTAGAAACTTTTTTGCTGATCATCTGACTTGAAATTTCAAGTCAATGCGTCTTATCTGGATTGCAATGTCCTGGACAAGCTTTCATCTATGGAATCACATTAATTAGAACTCAGTCCATTGTTTACAACCAAGCCAGGGTGATCTAACATGGTTTTTTCCTCACCTGTGGGTTCAAAATATTGTACTGAGATCACTAAGCTTGATTTGATTTGATGGGATCATTTCAGTACATGACCAAATAATAACCCCACAAAAATTTTATAGGATTTACACTGTAAATGAAAGAAGTTTAACTTATTACTGGTCTGAAAATGCAATGCATCCATCCAACCAGTGTTTTGGTTTCTCAATTCCTTTGTGAACTCTTAGGCCACTAGTTGAAACTCTTTTTTCCCATTTCCCTTCAAGCTGGTTTAGGTAATCTTGCCAACGAGACGGGAAGAAGTTATGTAGATGCACTAAAATTATTCCCCGAGTACTACAGGTACATTCTACCCGCAAAAAGGGGATAAATTAAGAGTCGTATTCTAGCTCTCTCCTTTATTCTGATGAATGATTTATCTAATTCCCGGCAAAGATCTGGCTTCTCAAAAGGAAGTGTTCTCTGCCAGAGTTTGAACTATCCCCCCAAAATATAATGGGCAATATCGATCTGTATCAGAATTGGCTTATTCTGAGTGCTACGACATCACTAGTTATATTTTCTATTTTTTGGAACAAAAGAGCGAAAAAAATAAAGAAATAGAGAATGTAGACCTCTTTCATTGTTCATTAAGCTCATATCATGGTTTTAATATATAATTGGATATCACTTTACTTGAAAATTTATCTTCCATAATCTATACTTTTGTTATTGTGATCATCCATAACCGATGAATGCTTTTTAGTTGTACCGAATAAGGATGGATGGCTCTCTTCATTTTATAGATTGGAAAGTTGTTTGTAAATATTCATATTTTTCTATTTTTTCTAATTTGTGTGCCTCTCATAGGTATTGGGCAGGGTAGACTCTCTTAGGAAGAAGATTTTGTCTGTTGGAAAAGAACATGCTGCACTTTGTGCTCAGGTTTGATCAACAATAGCTTAGAATTACACTTTTGAGTGGTTTTTAAGATTTGCTTATTTCCATGGATCAACGTCTCTTGTGGAGTGTGTTGTTGTTGGAACTTTTCGTTTTTTAACCTCTGCATGGTTACCATAGAAGAAAATCTTCCTTATATAGATTTATTTCGCACTTATGGATGCTAGAGTAATGTTTCATGTGATTTGAAAACTCTGTAAAATTTGCGCACAAGATACATGTATTATGAAAGCAAATACTCTACCTTTTGTCCAGCTCTCATTTTGCTTTTAAATGTCGTGGATACCATTCTATCTTGTAAGTCTGTAATCTTACATTCTATGGTGTAGAATTGTGAATCGGTTTGTTGACGTACAGAGGCATTCAAACCAATATATATCACACCGATAATTCTGATTTATATTTACATACAAAGGCAGTACAAGACCACATAATAAACAATTATCCAAAAAAGGGGATCTGCAGGTGTATTTTTAATTTGCTCTCAAAAACCTCTGTGCAATATTTCCAAAGTCTACATCAAAGTGGTGAAGACCATGTTTCCAAATCTCTTAAGATTGAGAAATTGAAGACCATGTTACCCAATATGTCAAAATTGAGGAAGGTTGTTTTTGTCCAAAAGTTTCTTGAACGCAACTCACTTTATGATGTAATTGCCAGTTTCTGAGCGACGCATTTATTTTAAAAGTTTGCCAGTTGCTCTCACTCCCAATTGTTCAAAGGATACCAGAGGATGCGGATTAGTTGTCATTTTTTTTTTAAACATTTGTGTAATGACGTCTATGCCATGGTTCCTGTAACTTTCTTTGCTACTCTAGGTAACAGACCCACTCCTAGGAATATGTGTTGGAGACAAATAAATTCAGCCATGCTATCCCAATGTGCTTATATAACTGTGTTAGAGAGGTGTCTAAACAGTTCTCTGTTGTGCGGAGTCATGAAAACATATTTAATGAATGTTGTGAGATTTGTTGATAAAGTTAGTACTTGGCTGAAAATGTTAATAAGAGAAAAGTAATCTGTGTTAAACAATATATCTGTCATGAATTGATTCTCTGGTTTTGAATGCATAGGATAAAATAGATCTCATTGAATCTAAGTGATAAACTTATTTCTTGGGTTTCTTCTGACATTCGTTTTTGAACTTGTTGTCATACTCCCAAGATTATGTACAGAGTGACACATATCTTTGGTCCTTTTGGTGTCTTCAAATAAATCAATTTTCTATAAGATGTTCTCTCGTATGGTGTGATGGTAGAATGTTCAATGAATGTGTTGTCAGTACTGCAACAGTGGTCCCATGGTTTCCCTTCCCGTTATGAAGAAAAAATGAAATTCTAACCCCATGATTATTTATTGGTTCCTTATTAATATCCTATTCTTCCTCCTAACATTCAGGCACATTGGTTGAAGATTATGGCTTTTGAAGTAGCGTAAGTAGATGGAGACATCTTAACGAGCCCACACACTTAAACAGGGTTTTCTATGGCATTGTTGGTTTCATGTTCCGTGAGATGGTGAACTTGTGATGAATGATTCATTAATGACAGAATCTGTTGTCACGTCTTAGTTTAGCATACATTCAAATTTGGTTGTGTTCTAAATCATACTTTTTTACGGTAAATTGGTTTATGCTGATTTAAATTTCGGTTGAGATTATGTCAAAGTTCGTATACATTTCATGCCACAAATGTTTCTCTGTTTCTTTTTTTTTTCCTTTCACTTTTCTCCACCCCCTTTATTTTTTGAGTAAAGTAAAGATTTTTACTAGGTTGGATATTTAACCTTGGCAGTCATCAACGAAGCGTGAAGCAGAAGAAAGATTAAGTGAGGTCTGTACATAGTTCCTGTGATACAGCTCTTTAGTTATATATTAGTTTTTGTTCCTGTTTATGTCTCCTGTCCCTTATTGCATATTTGGGATTTTCTATTTTATCTGTACATGCTTATGCCCTATAATGTTTGTCTGGTTGCTGGTTGCAGGGGGTGAGGAAACTGGAAGATGCTTTCCATCTTCAAAGGCATGCTGTTGAAGATTTGTTAAAGATTGCCAAGGTAACATGACTTTTTGTTCATTTCTCATATTGGTTTGCCAGCATGCGTAGGTCAGCTGATTACGGGCCTGACTGGGTTACATGAGTTTAAATAACATTCCTAAGATATTAGTCAGAATATTTTTCTACAGCCGTTGAGGTATTTTTTTAGCTTGAACCAGATTAATTACCTTCTATCCCACCCGTCTTTGTTTTGACTTAGACAAGCATGTCCAAAAGAATAATAGCATTTGATGACATCTGCTTTCCATGGCGCTCGTGAGATGTGAGCTTCTGGCATCCTGCTGATAAATATAATATATTTGGCAATCTTACTGCAAGGCTCTTGTTAACAAATGGTATGTTGCAATTGCGTTGTTGCCTGCATATGAAACATTATGTTGTTATTGAGTATGTTTGAGAAGCATTTAAATCTGAGATGTCATATAAGTCTAATAGACATCTGAAGGATTTTGATATCGTCAAATGGAAGATAACTCTGGTATCTATTTTTATTTGGTCATTAAATCATTTTGGTTCTGCCTTGAAACAAAGATCGCTAGTTAGTTTATGCTCAATTTATTTTAATTTTTGTTGTAGTCGGAAAGCGGGGGATAAATTTTTGGAATAAATATGTACTTGGATTTTCCAAATGGTTGTCTATTCCATTTGGAGGTTATTTGGTGTTTTATTTGGAGCATGACCTTGGACCAATCTGCCTTCATTCTTGTGGCTTGCAGCACATTCAGGTCAATATCTTCATTTGAACGGAAAATAATTAAAAAGAACCGTACAGGGCACCAATTCGATGATGAGAAAACAACTGAAATTGCTTGGAGTTATATAACAGGAACAGAGAGAGAGAGAGAGAGGAAGAGAGAGAGAGAGGGGATTCTGCTGGAAACTAGACAGAAGATGGCCTTTTGATACGGCTGCTGCTCTCCTTGTCCTTGCAAAAGACTTGTTAGTCCCTTAACTACCGACCTCACGACTCGTTCTTCTGATTAGTTCAGAACTTAACCTTTCGACTGTGGTCCGTTACTCTTACGTCTGTAAGTAAACTGAATACTGGGTTTTACAATGGGCGTCATTTCGGGCCTAGCAGAAATTTTCCTCTTATGACTTATACTGGTTGAAGCTTTTTGCTTATGTGAGTCTGTCAAATCATGTCAGAAGTGCCGAGTTTTATGCATCCTTCTATGAGGCCATGAAGTCTAATATTGCAGAGTATGAGTTTGGCTGATATTTTTTGTGCTCTCTTCTGTCTGAAAAATTTGATCATTGGAAAATGACGGATGGACCAATTGGGCCACATTGTTTGTACATTACAAGTCTAAATGGTTGGTGTAATTTCACAGACCTTGCGTGCTATGCCAGTGGTAGATCCAGCGACCCCAACATTGTGTCTTGTGGGAGCCCCCAACGTTGGAAAATCATCACTTGTTCGTATACTTTCAACTGGGAAGCCTGAGGTACGTCTTTAAACTTAGTATATGATAACACCGCTTTAGTTCATTGTTATTTGTGTATTTTGTAAATTGTTGCAATATTTAATAGTTTGTTCCTCTGCTAGTAATGAACTTAATGAAATGGTTATCCACCGTCCAAAAATCATTTTAAATAAAGTTCTCGGAAATTTTCAATAAATATTTGTATTAGTTGATCTTTTTCATGAAAACATTGCGACAGTTGCGACAGAAATATTTTTTGGTTTTACCTGTGACAAGCCCATGATTTGGAATTAGATCGAGTTCCGGACTATGAGGGAGGGGTTTCTCACACATCTTATAAAAAGTCCTGAATTAAGAAGCACAATCGTAAAAAAATCGAATGAGCAGAAACAGACTCTTCTGCTATCGAATTTAGTGTTTTTGAAATATGGACATCCTTCACAGGATTGAAGTTTCCTTTCAGGTAAACTATTTAATCGTCCTCCACTATTTCCTAGTTTATATAGAGAGGTTTCTTTTGGTTTTTCTTAGCTGATTGGATATATTTGTCTTCTTTTTTTTCTATAGCAATTATCACGTCGTACTATTCACTTTCAAAAAAAGAAAATCTATTATGTGTGTCGGTCGATATCCCTTTGTTACATGTCAAACCCCTTCTGTTTCAAAGTTCTCAAATAACTATAAAATAGGGAACGTCTGGGTTATGATAACAATTCCTTCATCACCTCGTCAGAAAGGAGCACGCTCTCATCTCTTTGCTGAAGGTTAGTGGTCTGCATTTTCTGTGCATGAGACTACATCATAATACTGATGAGTCCCTCATTACAGCATAGTACTGCATCCTCCTTGCCAGAGAGATGAGTCTCACGCCCTTGGGCTTAGCATCCGCCCCTTTGAAAAAAATACAAGTAAAAAAACGCATGCTTATACTCACTAGATGTAAGATCCTATCATTTAGATGGTACATCCATTACAGAAGATGTCGTTCACTAAATAGGGATGCCTGCATTCCCCAAACTATCAGCAACATAAGTTTTAGTGATGATAGTAATATAAAATATTTAATTCTCAGTGTCAAGTTTTCTTTACTGAGCAATCTTTTGTTAGACAGGTTTATTGCCCTTGGAATGACTATAAACTTAAAAGATGTTATAAAATATTGTTTTATTGAAAAGAATCCGATATAATTAGTTCATTGTGTGATCACTGAAAGCAAGATGGCCAAGGCTTGCAATAAACTTAAGAAATTTGTTGTGAGAAGTGGCCTAATCATTGGACACAGATAATTTTTTTCTATGATCTTGAATGTTGGTATCAGGCCACATACTGAGTCTAAAGAAAATATCCATTATTTTGGAGAATTTGCGAAGTCCTAGAAATTAACTATTTCCATCAGTTTCTGAAGATATAGCCTGCGAAATAAAGGATGCTAAAGACCGAATTACATAATTCTGCGTATAAAGGATGCTAAACGCTGACTGTAGGTTTTGCAGTAGTTAGTAGTTCAGGTTGAATAAAATAGCGTGGGAAGTAAAAGAATTATCCAAAAAGAGAGAAAACCTCTAACTAATCTTCCAAAAAGCATATGGATTTCACGTGAGGGAAGTGAGCAAATGCTCCTCTATGTAAATGGCATTGAATGCCAGGGATGATTACGTACAAAGGATGCTAGAGTCAAAGGCTGTTCTTAATAAACTTTATCCACGTAGCAATAAACTTTCTCATCCGATGAAATAGAATAGCTGTCATCCTTGGTACATCTGACTGTGTATTGATGATCCGTAATTTAGCTTGCTAATTTTGTTGACATCATACTAACTCAAAGCCATGGTTCTATTTACTTGTTCCTCATTTTCCGTTGTTTCTATTTGTTTGTTCACATCATTCATTAAAATTTTGGATGCTGGATTTCATCTGTGTTCTTGGTTTGAAGCGCCTGAAATTCTTTGAGTTGGAAAAAAAAATCACCATCTTTGCTGGACTTCAATATATTCCTTCAAAATCTAAAAACATTGTGACCGCTCCTAAGTAACATTTGAAGAAAGCAAATGTCTGTAGTGTATCCTTTTAAGGTCCTTATCCTATATGATCATTCTCAGAAAGCCTCATATTCCATCCCCACCTTGCTATTTCTAGCCCCTTACACTGGGCTTGATCAGACCGAAGTAGGTGGCCCAAGTGGGCCTGACCTGCTGCTTCTCCAGATTGGGGGTTGAAGTCACCCTGACCTGTCTCCTTAGGAAGGTGGCTAAGGCCCTTCCTTAGTGGCCTTCCAAGGTAAATGCCGATTTATGCTGCTCCCCTTTTAGGTGAGGTGTGCAAGAATACCATTTACTTGTAAATTCATGTAATCCTTCAATTATAGTTAGTCGAGAGTGGGATAATGGCTGGCGATGGAAGTTATTATTGATAATAATGTCAGGCGTCCAGGGATTCGTTCTGAATCCAATAGGGCTTATTTTTCAAATTCAAAATATCTTCCGAGGCCTAAAGTGAAACGACCCTTCATTTAAATATTGGCTATGCCACCATATCTTCATGAGATAAGGAAATAAAAAGGTCGACCAACAGACTGTAGAAATATTCTGAAATGATGGAAAGGAAGTTTTTCTATTGCAAGGTTTGTCTCGAACGAGAACAGTATCACTTTGTTCATTAATTTTATAATGCGTTGCTTTTAACCAGGTCTGCAACTACCCTTTCACAACCAGAGGGATCTTGATGGGTCACATTGGCGTCAACTATGAGCATTTTCAGGTGATCAGGTTTTGTTACTCGGCTTGTGATTTCTCATCTTGTTAGAGAGTTGGACTTCACGTTAGCTTTGACTAGAGTTCCAGAGTGATGCCGTTTCTGTGCTTACTCTTGTTCGGCAACTTGGTCCATACATAACGAGGCCCACCTCTCCTGACATTTTTTGCAGGTGGGAGGTCGTCGGAAACTTTGGTGGGGATGGGTATTTCAGCATAATCGAGTCCTAGAAGTTAATGAGACCATAATGCTCAGAAAGTTAGGCGACCATGGGCAACTGTTTGAATTCACATTTCCCAATTGGATTGAATGAGATAGAATAGAGAATGCAGATCATGTGTGAAACGTGCGCCCTCCCCACCCCCTCACCCCCACCCGCCACCGTTTCCCCTGCTGGAAGGCCTATTCATATGAAAGTATTTGACTTTATTTAGGAATTTAAGATTAGAGTAGGAAATTTTCGAATCTCAAGTGAGGAGAGAGCACGAATGAGGTAAAAGGTCCTGGAGTTTGTGCCGTATTCCTGATGATTTACAAACATGAGTGCCCTTCCCTGTGGAACGGCTTTTCTTAATAAAGTGTTGGCTTTTAATTACGAATTCGAAATTTAAATTGGAAAGGTATGAGTACCCAGTATTTACATTTTATGGTCCACCACTGTCTTATGAATTCATCTAAGGCCGGGGACATGGATGATGTATGAGGACCTGGAGCTCATGCCATGTTCTTCATGATTTGTGAATATTACTGGAAAAATTATAGTCTTGTTCCGAGCATTTTTTTTGTGTGCTTCTAGTCCCTGATGTCTCCAACTGCTGACGCCCACTGCAGGTTACAGACACTCCTGGACTTCTCAATAGAGACGATGGTGAGTTATTCAATTTACACACAGCGTTGCTTTCATATACTTAGCAAAAAGAAGCATTTTGAGGGGAAGAAATTCTTTTTGTTTCATCGGAAATTTTTGACAGAAGATCCATTAGATGATTAGCGGGAACGTTTCCGTCCACTAATGGGCGTCACGTTTGATGGCTGCTGCAATAAATTCGGCTATCATTGGTGCTGGTGCCCATTTTTATCTAATAAGAAAATTCCTATCCTCTCAACTCTCTTATGAATGAGGATTTGCTTATTTTCTTGACCAGATGGGTTTTCTTCGGGGAATTTCGTTTCTCTAAAGATCTTACCTATAATCTCATAGCTTTATTTTTCGCTCATTCTTAGTGAGAAAGAAATCTTCTTGACCTATCTCTGCTATCATACATGCATCTGTTCATTTTAGAACTAAAACTTTTGCCTTAAAAGGTTAAGGTTTTCTTCTTCTGGGCCATCCTTCCCCAGAGCTGCAGCTTTTCTGGCCAGCACAGCCTGAGACGTGATTTCCATCAACGTGGGAAATCCCAAGATTTCCCTCCCATCCATCGTCAGCCTTATCAATTTCCTTCCACATCTTTTTGCCCAACTTTGGTTGTTTCAAAAAAAAGATGAATAAACTTTGTTTCAACAGCTCTGTGAATATAATCCTCCACTCTTTCTGCATTAGCTTACAGGGTGCTCATCTTGACCCAGATAAGAGGAACAACCTGGAGAAGCTCACCCTCGCTGTTCTCTCTCACCTGCCGACTGCAGTGCTCTACGTTCACGATCTTACAGGAGAATGTGGGACCTCGCCATCGAATCAGGTTTCCCTGAGCTTGAACTTTTCAGGGTTCTTCCTTCTAGATGCCGTAATCCGCCATCTAACCTGACTATGGATGGTGGTGCAGTTTGCTCTGTACAAGGAGATAAGGGAAAGATTTAAGGATCATCTCTGGCTGGATGTGGTTTCCAAATGTGATCTTCTGCAGCAGCCCAAGTGTGTGATTAATGCGGAAGACGAATTGGAAAGCTACAAGATATTTGGGCCCCACGGCGCGATTCAGGTGTCCGTGAAATCTGAGATCGGGCTCGATGAGGTTAGTAAACACCTTAATACTATGAATGTTTCAAGCCCTGAATCCTAATCCTTCAACTCCAAATCTTCATTCCCAAGTCTCTGACCTTAATACCTAAATTTCATTCCTTAAACCCCACACCTCAGATCTTCGTTCCTAAATCTTTGACATTAATACCTGAATCTTTTGCCTTCATCATCTCAAATCTTTAATCTTAAATCTCAAGCATGAAGCCTTACGAGCTTAATATTAATCATTAAACCTGAAATCTTATACCTTTAAGCCTCAAACCTAAACATTAACAGCTATGCTTTAAACCCTGAATATTGTCTTAAATTATGCCTTAGAAGGAAAATTCAAAACCTTTAATGTGGTTGTGTAAAGTCCACGACTCCCACATTAACTCAAACCTTAGACCCTAAATCTTAAAAACTTAAACCTAAATTAAACCCTAAATCTTAAACCTCGTTATAAACCCCTTGATCTTAAACCTTAAGCTTATCAACTATTTCATGTATGCCCTATTTTGTGTGAAATTCTGTTAGTAAGCTGCTCATAAGTTCTGGTCATGTGAATTTTTCCGCTTTTTTTTATTGGTGTTAAGATTCAATCTTTATCTCAACCTTTCAGCTAAAGGGTCGAGTTCACGAGTTGCTGATGACACAAATGAGTAGGATCAGAGAGGAGGCAACAAGTCCGGGAGGTGTAGAGACTGCTCCTGATTTGATCCGCTTCCTGTAAAGATATGAGGCCAGTATCTGCTGTAAATCAGTCCTTTTTTCTTCCCTTTTTCTTTTATTTAATACTTTCTGAAGGACAGAGCATAGTAGATCTCAGCCCACATCACCCATTCTCACACTGATAAGCCCTAGAAAAGGAGAGAAAGAGAGAGAGAGAGAGAGAGAGAGAGAGAGATGGTGGACTGGTCCATACACTTCTCTGCAGAAATAGTTCTCTTTGCTTTGCTCTCATCTTTTGCTTCTCTAAATGATTTGTTTATTGTATAATCAGTTACTGCGTTAAGCTAAACATGTCATTAAAATTAGGTTAGCTTAATTGTCTAATGCGTAGTAGACTAGTTCATAGTGCCATTTGCAACCTACTTCCAAGATCCTTTAGCACTTGGGTGTACTCTATCCATAACACTGCGGAAATCTTTGGCGAGATGTGTATTAAGATGGCAGAAATACTGAAGGAATGTTAGGCCACTGGGCCTTATTAACTCCTGCAAGAGATAGCAGTCCCAGCCGAAGGAGAAAGCGGGCCAATCAAGCCCACGAACAAAGTGACGACGAGTCAGAGGGATCACTCAGGAGAGGTGTGGGGGTCTGTTGAAAACACTTGTATCTATTGAAACCACTTTAGAATATGTCTGGGCATTCACTATGTATTTCCTATCTCCCTTCAAATCACTTGAAATAATTTTCTGCATGATTGAGAAATAGAATAGTTGATTCAATCTTGAATGGTCATCACTCATCAGTGATCGACTCTAAATTAGTGAAATTGTGATCTTTCTTAATTTTTCACTATCTTAATAACAAAGGTAGAAATATACATTTGATTTATTAATCAACTGAATGAGGTAATGTTGACTGAAATAATATGATATTAATTAAACGATTGTCATAACCTTATGAAGATAGCATTGGGTTCATAAAATGTAAGTTACTAAAAAATTGTACAATAATTTTATGTTCCCGAAAGATTAAAAAAATAGATTCACTTGTATTCCAATGTGACCATGCTTGTGAAGTCTGTGTTCACCCATCATGGGAGAGCTTAACAAGAGTGAGATGGTATTTGCTCTCAAGATTTGAGGTTGTATATTGACTAGTCTGGTCTCAAGAATCAGAGAGGAGGCAGCGAGCGAAGAAGCTGTGGAGATTGCCCCTGATTTGATCCACTCTCTCGGAAAGATATAAACTCAGTATCTCCCGTGAATCAGTTTTTTCCTCTCCTTGTTTTTCTTTCATTTCGAAGTTTCTGAAGGACAAAGCGCAGCACTTCTCACTTGAAATCAATTTTTCCAGCATCACCTTTTATCTTTTTGATAAGCCTATAAAATTGGTGACGAGGCACAGCATCTAGCTAGAGAGAGAGAGAGAGAGAGAGAGAGAGAGAGAGATACGAGCATTCCTGAAGACGAAAGAATTTATTAATCAAGGAATTTAGTCCACTACAGAATACGTGTAATTTGGGACGACGATGAAGCAGAGGGGACCGTGATGGAATAGAGGACGTTCTTGGGAGACGTGATGATGGTGAGTGTAGCTATGGCGACTACTTCTGGTGAGAACCCAGGGTCGGCTGGAACCAGAAAGCTGAAGAGGAAGCGAGGGAGAGGGGCTCAAACCCCACGGCGCCGTTCGCCAGGTTGACCACTGTGAGACCCCCGTCGCCGGCGTCGTCGCCGGCGAGCTCGGCGATGGAGTAAATGCAGTCGGCGCTCAGCTCTCGGAATTCTCCGGCGGGCAGTGCAATGAAGCCGTCTGTTCCCAGCAAGATGGCGTGACCGGCGAGGTCCTTGAGCCCGACCCACTCCGGTCGCCGGCCCGTCCGCAACCGGAGGACCTCGAACTCGGGGACACACCTCCGCCGGCGAATCGGGCAGGCTCTGTAGAACCTCCACCGGAGAAGGATCAGGTCGCCGGACATCACCCCGAGGTATTCCCTGCAATACGGCCGCAAATCGGGTGCAACATCGATCTTGGCCGTCGCCGGCGCCGGAGACGAACGGGGTTCGCCGCCGAAGTCGCAGACGAGGACCCGACCAGTGTCGCCAAGCGCGTAGAGCTTCCCGTCGTGGGCGGCGATATCTTCAAAGCGGGTCATCGGCGCCTCAATCTCCGTCCACTCATCATCGCCAGCGACGGCAAACGACAGCTCCGACATCTTCTGGTTTCTCCGCCGCAGAACCGCCACAACGACCGAGTCGCTGCTGCGGCCACCCCTCGGAGGCACGACGATGGCCTTTCGGTACGAGCTTCTCCCCGAGACGAGGCGGAAGAAGGGATCATCGAGGGAGGAAGTATCACCGGAGGTAAAAAACAAGAGCTTGGTCCTCGTGATTGGGTTTAATGCTTGGAGCTGCTGGAGCTCGTCCGCCATCATCAGCCAACCTTGCGACGACCCGATGCAGACCATGTCGGAGAGCTCTTCCATGCCCATGCGGATTGTGTATCTGCGCATCCCCTCCGAGAAGCTCGCGAACTCGAACTGGTCTTTGCCGATGGGGGGGCCGCGGCTGGGAAGCATAAGCCACAGGGACGGCGCAGGCGGCCGGCAGCAGAAGCCGTCGGCCACCGCAAGCCTCCACCGCCTGCAGACGGCGCCCATCCGGACTTGGTCCGCCAAGCCCAGGAGCCCCGTGAGGGTGCCGACGAGAGCAGACGGAATCATGGACCAGTCCGCCATCTCTCTCTCTCTCGCTCGCTCGCTCGCTCTCTCGCTCGCTCGCTCGCTCTCTCGCTCGCTCGCTCGCTCAATATGGGTAATGAGGGGGTTGATGATTCTGCTAGCCAATAATGGCCGCCGGTGCTCTCCCGAGAATCTCGCTTTGTCTCCCCTTCTCTTTCCTCAGAAAACAACAGCTTTCCTTTCCTGATCTCGCGGGTTTCGCCGAAAGGAATGTCCTGAGACGAGCTTCCGCGTTTCTCGCGGGATTCCAGTTTCCTTTTACGAACCGAATCATCGACCGGCGGGAATTGCCGCCGATCACAGCCTTCCGCCAGCCATCGAAGGAGGGTATAAGCCTTCTTCGGGTCTCCTTCTTGAGGCTATCAGGCTCAGGTCTATGTAGTTGCCGTGGTGAAGAAGACCCGTTCAGATACCTCCATTAGAGGTATCAATCTGTGAACTGCGAAACAAAGGATGGCAAACAAAGAAAGAGATCGCAGAAGAACTCAAGGAAGGAACTAGGCGAGGAACAAAGAATCCAGGAGCTGACCCGAAATCAGATTCAGAACTAGCTGAACCCTCTTGAGATTCATCCTCCTGGTTGCTTCTGTGAACACCTAACCTTCAAAGTTTCCTTAAAAGGAGGAGGAGCTAAAGCATCACGCCAGAATAAACGTGAATCGTTGGCGATGGAGTACACGGTCATCTGACGACGAGCATCCGATGACCCTCAAGAAGGTCTGTGGGAATTTTGTCAATGACAAGGAGAACGCGTCCGGTTGTGTGCCAACTAAAGATGAAGTCTATGGAAATGAATCCTCTCTATTAAGAAGGAAGACAAAAGAACTACAATCCAACCAAATTGATAGTTTAATCCTACCCAATGTTTTAAGACTTTACTTAATGCCAAAAGAAAGCGATAGAAAGAACGTGTTGGAGGAGGCTTGCAGCGAAGTTGAGGGGATAAGAGGGAGAGTAGAGTGAGGAGAAATTGAGGTATACAGTAGAAATATTGAGGACCCTATATATCATTTACTGTAGAAATGTTTCTTAGATCATCGTGTGCTCATGTTCTAGGCAGGCATTTCTCTTAAAACGTTAGAGGTTTGATCTTGTGCGTGCATTAGTTGTTACTAGTTTGGTGACAGATTGAGTGAGGCTACACCAAGATTACATTAAAACTCAAAATTACCTATGAAAGCTGCCTAGAAGCTAGTGGACTCTGTCCACCTATCAAAACACTTACTGAAAATAAAAAACATATTAAACTTTAGACATGAATCAAGTGACTCATACATAAAAAAGTACATGTTTATATTACGTAATTATTCCTTGTAATGCGATTTCATGAAGTGTGCCATCTTCAATTCCACTAAAATTTTGAAAACTAGTCATTATTTCATGCTCAAATAAAATTTCTCCTTTCCATAAATTTTCCTAATATCAAACTGAAACTTATTAAACTTTAAATGTTTTTTATTCCTTATTAATCTGCAGCCAATGATATAGTTTTGCTAACTTTCTTATTGGTTTCTATAAATTCAAAGTATCCTCATAAGAATCTGGCAATGAATATGGTTATTTCTCACTAAAGGAAGGTGTATAACAAAGTATATCAATTATAATTTAATAAAAGATCTAAAAATAGTATAAAATTTTCAGTCGACCAAAGGGATGTAATATAATTTAGGATAATATTTTAGAATTTTCTACAAAGAATATAATTTATTATGATTTTTATACAAAATAATAAAGATAAAATATATTTAAAATTTATGAAAAGAAAAATAAGTGCACGAACATCAAGATGACATCAGTGGCTTGACAAATGCGAATTTAGCAGAAATAAAGTTTTACTTAACAATTCGTACGTAAGCATACATAGAGGATTTAATTAGTCAAATTAAGATATGTAAAAGCTATAAGAATCATAATTGAATAAAAAAAAATTAAAACTTGAAATCACACATACTATCACTAAATTAAGTAAAAATTAAGTTGAAAGTATGAAAGGTAGAGTTCCGGCCTTGCAATTGTAATCGTCAAAATTTTGTGTTTAGAAGGATTATCGTGTAATATTTATGGCCTTGAAGGCTCTTTTTGAACCATGACGATATAGACAATATCTAGATCTTCTTACAAAGTCTAAAAATCTATGAGGTGGGTTAATTAATCATCTTCAATGACTATCACTTAGCAGAATAGAGAAATAATAACTTTATGGATCTTCGATATTTGTCACCTAATAGAGAGAAGTTGGATGGAGGTGAGCGCATGTTAAAGAGCTTCATCCTCAAGTTTGCATAATAAGAGGAGGTCATAAGATAATTTAATAATAATATTTTATGAATCATGTTGACGACATTTTCACTATTGACTGAGTAATTACAATGGCTCGTGGATCACTAGCAACTCTATAGAAAAATTATGATTTAATTAGATAACAATATGAGTTTTAGTTTTGATGAAATTTGAAGCCTCATCATTCACCTACCTACATGAGAGAGAGTGAAATAAGTATATAAATACCCTTATAAGGTGACGTCATAAGTGTATCTTGTTCTCACAAATGAGGGGTATTATAGGTATTAAAATCATGAAAAACCTTCACAAAAGCTATGAATAGATTTAGTCCCACATCAATTATTTTTTGAGTTTTGAGACAAATATATAGTAATACAAGATTCTCTAATCAATAACTCTCTCTCTTTCATGTGTATACAATCACTCCTTACCCCACACTCGATAGGCTATTAATGATGTGGAAGGAGAGTGACGTACAAGTGCCTCCTACTGATCCTTAGCTACTCGAACTTCATGCTCACAATTCTAACTAACTAAACTTTTGACCTGTTTGTAGGCCCAACTGACCAGCAAGTATCCCTTTTTTATAATTTTATTTTATTTATCTTTATTTATCTCAAAAATATGATTATAAAAATTATAAAATTCACATAAAATCACAAAATTAGGAAACATTCTACATTAACGAACTAAAAATTATTTTTTATAATTTAACATAAATATAAGTATATTTATTATGAGTTAATGCTTAAACTATATCATTAATTAATTATTAACTTATGATAATTAAAACTTATTAGATATCATAAAAACACAACTATGAAAAATATTAATTTGCACATTTTTCTCATTTTGCAATAATGAAGGGAGATGATGTTATGACTATTTGACATGAAAACTCAAACACGCTACTTAAGAGAAGTAATGGGAGAAATGAATTAGTATATTATATAATGACTACGCTGCTCTCCATATAGAAAAATTATCACAATCTTTGTTGTGATCAAGCTTTCAACATAGTTTTCAATTTTTTTTAATTTAGTCATAGCTTTCATTGGATATATCCTTCCATATTTTTTACATCTATTTGGATCTTCCCTCTAAAGGCACCACTCTATTATAATTTTTTTCTGATGTCTCTTCCATGCTAACAAATAAAAATGCTAGGGAAGAATCAAGACAAGTATGTTGCATGCATAACATAGGAGAAATGTAAGTCACTATTTATCTTAATCTGGACATCTAATGAAAAAGTCTCCTACTTAAAAAATTAAGTCAATTTTTTAGCCCCTTTCTTTATATTAGTTTGTGCAACTAAATTTTTAATTTTGTTATCAAAGAGTAGGATTGCCATTGTCATCTCATCCTTTTGTGGAATTGTGCATCCATGAAATATTCTCAAGGTCCCATGAAACCTTCTTGGTATCAAGAAAATAGAGAAGAGAGGGTCATGTGACTTAATTGTTGTATAGTAAATCACGTAAATTTAAAATTTATAAAACTAAAAAATATTAATTTTTGAATATTAAAGTATTTCTAAATAAATATATCAATTATAATTTAATAAATTTCTAAAAATAGTAAAAATTTTCTAAGTCGATCATAGGGATGTAATAACTTATGAGTGGGTGAAACCATGCTCTCTTTATAAACAGAAGAGTATAAATATATACAATCTTTTTAAGATATGTCATGATATAACATGTGTTGATCATTTCCTAAGTAGAATCTTATGATAAAATCAAAAATAATCATGACATCGAATGTGTCAAAATGTATGTTTACACAAATAATAAATTAAAGAAGATAATGACAACAACAAAGCATATTGAATGAATCATGATATCATCATTAACTCATCAAAATACAAAGAACCTAGGGTAAAATGAGACTCAATTTATGTATACTCAGTTTACAAAAAATTTTGTATTGAATCTATCCTCAAGGATGGGTTATGTGACCTAATTGTTGCCTATTAAATCATGTAAATTTAAGATTTTATAAAACTAAAAATACTAATTTTAAGATTTTTTTAGAAATACTTTTGTAAAAATATTTCAATTTTAAGTCAAGAAAAGACTCCAAATATCATGTAGAAATATTTTCAGGCTAATCACAAAGATGTCAAATAGTATTAGGTAAAATTTTAAATTTTTTCTCAAAGAATATGATTTTATATCATTTTTAGACTAGAAGATCATAAAAAAAATCATGTTTAAAATGAGAAAAACAAGAAATTCGACTATTGATGTTATGAAGACATCAGCACCCACTTGAATAGTGATTTGGGTGAAAATAGTTCTACGTGATGCTTATTACAAAAGTGATTTCAAAAGCTTCAATTGATGAAATCGACACTTGTAAATTGTAAATGAATCGTAATACACTAAAGAATAGTTTCAAAACCTAAATTCAAGTAAAAATATTATTAACATAAAGAATAAATGAGTTTAAACAAGAAAAATAGAGTTATAGTGTCATGATGGCAATCGCTGGAATTTTGTATGTTTGAAAGGTTTCTAAGGGATTTCTATAGCTTTGAAAGCTCTCCTTAGGCTTGGCATGGACACTCTCCAGATTCTAATGTCGATGAAGTGTCTCTAATCATTGTCATCTAGTGAAGTAGAAACTGATGAAGATGGGTCTCTAATGACTAGCACCTAGTGGAGAGATGATTAGTGGGTCTGTTCACGATGAAGTACAGCTTCGTCTAA